ACACTTGGAAGACAGGAAATATTTGAGACCTGTGTAATGCTATGCCTTTTGCTATAAAAGAATAATGTATGCAAGGCATATTTAGTTGCTTCCTTAATTAAATTGGCACACAATTGGCAATGTAATTGTATAGTAATTACTTTTTATTGTGTGAGGAAGAAAGCCTTATAATATCAATAAATTCTGTTGGGTTATTTCCCATTGAAAATTTTTAAAATATAGGGTAAGGGTATTTCATTAGCTCATTCTCAATTGTTTTAATGATTGTGATAGTGTCTCCCTTTTATGTTTTTCCTTGCCAGGCTATTTAAGGACTAGAGTAAACATTATCTTTGGAAATGCTTTCAGACGTCCAGCTCTGAATTTCTGTACAGCTTTAATGGAATTCGTTATCCAGACATGCACTATCTTGTGGACTGAATCATCTTTGTGAATTAACCATGGGTTTGTTGATGCTTTAACTACAAGGCATTTAATGATGTAAATAATCAGCCTATTTCTGAAATACCTGAGCGTCCATCAATGGTAAAGATTCAGCTGCCTTGACCTGCAAAAGCATGGTGTTAAGTAGAGAGTATTTAGTCCTAATGAAGGTAGGCTACATGTGAGCATTCAGTCCTGGTACAAAGTTACCATCTTCCACTTGGAATTTTCATAAGAAATGGCTTATAGCATTTTTTTCATATTCTATGTTAATTACCTTACTGATGGAAAATGATGTATTTCCACTTTTTAAAAAATCATAGTCCTGCCTCTGCTTTTTTCCCTATAGTTCTATTTTTATTTTCATTGATTTTATTCATTTATTCACTCAGTGAATATTCAATTAATACCATCTTCCTCTTCCAATAAGGCATTGCACGAGGCACTGTGCCCTGCAAGATGTGACCTCTGCTTCTGTTGGGTTGCAGCCTGGTGTGGTGTAGGCTAGACTTGTGCCCATGCATATGCTATTCCAAGCAGTGATGACCTGCCATAGCTATGATGCAGACTGTGTGCTCCAGAAATCTGAAATGGAAGGGATTCTGGCTGTAGTGGGGATAATGTTTGGAGCTGAAGGGCGGACTTCCTGTTGATAAAGATTGGAAGGCAGAGCTAAGCTAAGAACATGGAGGCTAGAAAGACACTCTATGATTAGAAAATAGTCCAAAATAAGTTGCATTTGGAGTTCAGCCTTGAGGAGTAGTAAGACTTAAGACTGGAGGAAGAGTTGGGAGACAGATTTTTAGGTTACATGGTTTGATCTCAATTCCGTAGGCAGTGAAGAGATGGTCACAGCTATTAAGTAGGAGCTTGGCGACTTGGCTTTGCTCTAAGCAAATGGTAAGGACAATCTGCAGGATGAATCAGAGGAGGGAAGAAGGTCAGTTGGGAAGTTACTGCAACACTCAAGGTGTGGTGTGATAAGACTTGGAACGGAGGTGGTGGCAGTATGACTAAAAGGGAGAGAAGCTATGTAATGTGGGAGTGTTTCTTTTCTTTCCCCAGAGAATTGAGCTCGTGTTGATTAGTGAGGCAATAAAATCAATTCAGCTTCTGCTAAGGCTGTCAAAAATGTAGCACCTTATTTTGCAGAAATTGTGCCCATGATTTAATTATGAAATGGACTCAGTCAGTGACTTAAAAGATATACATCAAACAATAGATAATGATTATCATCATCTTAAGTCCAATGTGCTTCCTTTTCTAACCCTCCACTCCCTCCACTCTGCAAGTACAGGGGATCTTATGGACATTATCTGCTCACCTCTCATCCCTCTGAGACTGATGAAGCATTTTCATTTTCAAGATGAGGAAACCGGAACATAGAAAGTTTAAATATATGAGTTGGCACAAATGCAATACTCCCATTGCACCAATTTTCTTTGGCAAGAGACAGGTCAACATAGCTTCGGGTGACAGTTACTTAACAGTGAAATAATTGGACCAGGTCAAACTTTTGATGAAACAGGCTAATGGGGGATAATTAAGGCTGAACCTATGTGGGGGACTGGGGTTTGTCATCTAACAAGGAACTGTCCTTAATTACTGAAGCTGCTATGGATAATTTAGGAAATTTAGGACAATGGCATTGGATTGTTGTAGTGAATTATTTGGAATAATTTTTGTCTTCTTGTTTAAATTAAAAAAAAAAAAAGACTTCTTAATTCTTGACTTTATGTTGACTGTGTCCCAATCTACTTGCTGCCTGCATGGGACTATCTATTTAAGGATAATCCCTGACTTATCAATGAGAAGAGAAAATCAAGGAATCAGATGGAACATAAAGGTCAGTTGAATACAAAGTTTGACATCACCGAATACGCATCCCAGCAGATGACTCTAGTAAGCAATGATTTAATTGAAACAATTACTGTGAATGTACACTGGTTATGCATTGTGTATTTGTGTATCTATTTGGGCATATAAAACTTCTGATTTTGCCTATGTATTTGATGAAGTAGGAACAGGGAGAGGGAAGAAAAATAAGAGATTTACCTAAAAGCAGAATTTTCTGAGTATTTATGCTTAAGCCATTTTTTTCCCCTAAATTACTTAAAGACCTACTCTTCAGGTGTTTGAAATGGAAATCATCCTTTCAGGATCCTGTTTTGCAGCTCATTTTTGTTTGTGCAGAGTTGCCCAAGAAGGCTGCACTCTAATCTGCTATGACTTACTCTTCTATCACAAACAACAGAATTACTGGACTTTGAAAGCTGACATGGGGGGAGGAGGGAAAAAGGAAATGTTTATACCTCCTCATTTTGACATGGCTCCTTCAGGAAATCCGATACCAAATATCTTCCTGCATCTGGATGAGGGAAGAAAGAGACCATACAAGCATTCTGTACATAATGTTGAAATAAAACCCTCTATTGTCCGCCAAGACAATAGAACTAGTCAATAATAATGTAGTACAAGTAGAGCATAAACTACACAAGCCAGCAATGCAACCTTTGTTCCAGTGTAGTCTTCCATATCAGCCATTGACAATCCCCAGAGGTAAGAGAAAGGTCTTTCTTCTATTTCCCATAACTTGCTGCCACTTGTCTCTCTCTCCTTGTTGTGTAGGCTGCAGTGTAATGAAATTCCCCTTTGGTTTGGCTAAACATGTTTGACAACATAGGAACTGTCCTAAATCTTGGCCAAAGTCTCAAATGAAGCCTAAACTCTTTGTATGGATAAACAAAATGAGTTAGCTTCATTATGTGTTTCAAAGTCTGCAGGAGGCGTTGATTTTGCTGGGAAGAGAAGCTGAAGTACTGAGAAGTAAGATGTGGGGTGCTCACAGTTAAAGCACTACTTGAGAAGATAGCATTTCAACTTCTATCTAGAAAGATAGCATGTTTTTATGGGAGTAGGAGGTGAAGAAACAATACATTACTAAAACAAAGTAAAATATCCAAGGACATCAGGATGAAGCAAAAGCACTGACTGAAGACACTAGAGCTGACGCAGAACAAATTGTTCACTAACAGTGTCATCACTACCTGGCACTCGGCGAGGTCCTGGGTGGCTCTTGCTGTGACGAATGAGCCTGCATGCTGCTGTCTGCATGGAGCTTACATTCGTAGTGGGCATTCTGCCCAAATGCACAGGTAAGCATCAGATAAATACCTCAACTCCTGGTATTTTCCCTGAGCCTAGCCCAATCTGAGCCTCTAAAATTGCTTGAGTTGGGTCTGGCCTCGCGGCGTAGTGGTTAAGTTCACACACTCCGCTTTGGTGGCCCAGGGTTTGTGGGTTTGGATCCCAGGTGTGGACCTACACACCACTCATCAAGCCATGCTGTGGTGGCGTCCCACATAACAAAACAGAGGAAGACTGGCACAGATGTTAGCTCAGCGGCCATCTTCCTCACCAAAAAATAAACAAATAAAATTGCTTGAGTTTGTCCAATATTAATATTGCTGAAACCTATGATGTCAGGTTAAATGCAAGAATCAAAACCAATTAATTGACAAAACATGTCATGCCTTTTTGCAACCATAAAATTAACCTTTTCATTTAAGAGAAAATTCAATGTTAGAAATATTTTATGACCAAGAAAAATTAGTCTAAACATAAAGAGAAGATCATTAAGACTTGCAAAAGCAATCAAAATAAGACAATTGCATAGTTTAAAAAATTGAAGGAGCTCTGGAAGAAAAAAGTTTGTGCTATCTTTGCTTTGCTGGAGAACAGGAGAAAGAAATGCTCCCCAAGTTCGTAGCCCCTTGACACACTCCCTTCCCCACCCTGGAAAAGGCTGCTTCCACATCTTTCTGGTACTCCTCTGATTTTGGTACGTGTCTCAGTGTCTGTCACATGGAGATGATCAATGATACTTATAAAAGAACTATAATTGGTATAGGGGATATTCCAGTGAACAAAAACAAAGTCCCTGATCTCACAAACCTTGTAATCTATGGCAGAGAAAGACAATCGATACATAAATATTTAAGGGAAAGCATGTTAAGAAGGAAAAAAAACTGGAGAATTTATAGACTAATGGAGAAATTTATGGACTAGCAAACTATAGAATAGCTTTTCTATGTAGAGGTATCAGGGAAGGCCTCCATGGTCAGGAGACATTTAGCATAAACCTAAATGATGTGAGGGAATGTGCTAGGTAGATATCTGGGAACATTGGTTCTAGGTAGAATAAGTAGCAAGTGCAAAGGACCTGGGGTAGGTTGTGTCTAGTGTTTTTACAGCTATGAGGCCAGTGTGCCTAAAACAGAATAAACATAGAGTGAGAAGAGATGAGATCAGAGAGGTGAAGAGGGGAGTGAGTAGATAGATCACAGACGGGCCTTTTAACCTACATTAAGGAGTTGGAATTTTATTCTTATGAGATGGGTAATTTTTTCAGAGTGGGCAATGAAGCTGCAAGGAGGACCACCCATGTTTTGGAATGCAGCTATGCTCACTACTATGCTACTAAGGCCACTGGCAACAACCACATTTTGAAAGTGATTTTGGACAAAGAGAAAATAGGTTTACACCAAGAAAGTTTAGGTTAGACATGCAAAATAATGTTTGGATTTTAAGGCATTTAATCATTGGAAAATTTTATCAAAGAACAATATTAAATTTCATCCCCTGAAGATACTTACGAAAGACCACGTTTGTTTGACATAAACTACCACTTACAAAAAAGGATCAATGTGCTTCCCCCGCCCCCCCAGCCATTTAAAGTAATGTGCAGTTGATTTGATTAACCATGTAATCAAACTGGTTCAGTAATTAAGACCACCAGGAAAACTGGGCCATATTCAGCTCCTCAGTCTACAGTTTTTCTTCAGCAGGTTCTTCCCAGGGGAGACACCCATTTGGCCGTCTCAAGGACAGTGGTTCTGCTGTATCTGGTCCGTGAACAACTTCCGTACGTCTTTAGTTATTTATTCTAGAAAAGAATTTTTTTTTTTTTTAAAGAATACCACCAGGTCATAATGGCGACTTGGGACAATGCATGATTTAATATTCTTTCAACCTGATATTTAAAAAATATTAGCCCAATACTCATCTTAGTGGGAATGCAGAGAAATGAATTGTCTTTTATTAAATATTATTTACAAACTAGGTTCTTACTGGTTCCCTTTCAGCGCCAATAAGAACATTCTACTGAGAAAAATTGGCAAAGCTTTTCCTGTTCTTCTGTGGTTCTTTTTCATGGCTGCTTTCTTCTGCACTTTTGCAAAGCCTCAATTTGTTGATGGCACAGTAAAGTGTTTAAAATTTAGATAAAATAACGCATTCCTATAAAGAACATTGTGCTGAACACTTTTCATCGGCAGGATTCAGCTATCTGTGATCATAATTTTCGGTTGATGACCATCATGCCATTTCCCAGAGACACGCAACTGCAATAGGCTTGTCCTAGTAAGGAACGTTTTCTTTCTTCCTCTCAAGAGCACTGGAAAAGGGAATGAGATCAATGCACATTGATTCCTGTGACATTTTGGTGGCCTTTATAGATTAGGGACAATTAGTTGCCAAGCTGACTGGCCTCACCTTTAAAGTGACTCAGTGGCCATACGAACGTGTTGTAAATGATAATGTTACATAGGACTTGCCCAAGGGCCCTGTAGGGGACTTCCCAGGCCAGGCCCAGGGCAGGGTGACTGCGGTGAATGAGTGTGGGAGCTTGGCCTCAGACTCCTACCCCAGCCCTCGTCCCAGGCATCGCTGGGACTGCTGTGCAGTTCCCTTCCTGTCCCTGCGAATCATTGCTAGACAGGCTTATTCTACCCCTTGCAGAGCACAATGCCCACAGGAGTAAAGGATTAGTACTTGTTTGTTGGTTTTGGTTTCTGTTTGTTTTAAATAATGATGATGGATGCTCTAGTCACTTTTAGAAACTGGATTAAGGAGTTAGATGGTGTTTGTGCTTGCCAACCAAGGCTTTAGAAAAGCAACATGTCCCCAGCATCTAGAATGGTCACCCTTTTCCCTGGGTCCAGGCAGAAGGGCCATACAGCCCTGCCCATCCTTCTCTTCCCCTCCCATCTCAGCTCCTCTGACAGCATGCTTTGTAAACTTTACTCTGTTAAGCGTAGGGCCATTGACATACATCTCTGCCAATAACAAACCAAAGTTCCTTGTTTGCAAAGTGGGAAGCCAGCCCTGGAAAGGGAAAGTGAGGGATGCCACTAGTCCACCTCCTGGAATTTCTGCAGATCCCTAAGATAGATGAGACAAAGAATTGATAAAAAAAATTCCCTATTGCTGTGAAAGAGCTCTGCGATGCTTGTACAATTCGAAGCCGTCCATTTCTGGTTCTAAGTAGTTTATTCTATCTCTCTAAGCTCCTCCACACATACGCTTCCCCATCTCCCTCTGCATGGACCTGCCATTATACACTTAGTACACACGTTCAGCACTGAACGCAATTTATACTACTCACGCATCTTGTCCTAGGTGTCTGAGAAGTTCTGGATGAGATCAGGCAGAAGAATAGTGCCAAGATATAACATCAGTTACTGTAGCATTAAGACTTTTAAAAACCACCAGTGCACGTATCAGTGATAACTGGGCCTAATGATAATAACAGGCATTACGTGGTGGCAGAGACATAGTATCCAATATGCAGAAAAGAATTTGACAAGGGGATGGAGAGAGGACAATACTCATCCTCAGGTGAGACACACAGAGAGGATAGTCCACACGTGCACTGGAAAGTAGGGTGCAGGGTTTACCCTTGAGATTTGGATGTGGAAAGTGCCCCTTTCCTGTCTACCTTCAGGGAAGAGCACGGGTCTCAGAGCTCCCCTCTGCACCATCCAGCTCTTCAACCTCAGAGTGAAATGAGGGGGCTCCCTAGGATGACCTATGATGTCTTTTCAAGGTCAAGGCCTTTGACTGCCTTTGCCCATCACTGCATCCCCCATCCTTTCTCCAGACACTAATTCCCCAACTCAGCATCTTACCACATTCTGTGACTGGCATGGAGGGTAGGGTGGGGAAGGAAAAGGAGAGAAGGAGCCCCTCAGATTGTTTTCTGAAATCACCTTCCCTGAAAGTTTTATCCAGACGATGATATTCACAATGGGAGCATCTAGAGGTACTCGTTTGGTGAACAGAAGGCAGCATCGCAGTAACAGAGAGTAGAATGGGCCCCAGACGCTCCTATGGAGCTCCAAGGCTTTGTAACAGGGAGGGAGGGACCAGAGACTCTAAAAAGCACATTTTCTGTTAATAGAAGTTTACTTATATTGAGTGTCTATCAGGAGTTTAATTTAATTAGCCTGATAGTTTTATGATCTAGATCTTATAATCTCTATTTTATATATTAGGAAACTGAGGCACAGAAGGCTTAAATAACTTACCCAAGGTCACACAGTTAGTAAGTGGAAGAACCAGCATTCAAATGGAGGCTCTTTGTGCTCACAATTTGTGTCCTTTCCACTACAGGAACGCTTCCTGCTTCAGCCGTCTTTGGGGAAATGGTAGAATAGTTCAATAATCCAGTGATTCCAAGCTTCAAGGCACAAAGAGAGTACTCTTTCCACGGTGTGCACAGTATGGATGCTATGGCCATGGGTGGGCCTGTCTGTGGTGAAAAGAGAGCGTTGGTTAATTCCCTCCCTGCTCCCCAAGGAGCTCTAAGCTGGTCCATCCCGCCCTTGCCGCTGTGGTGGCATCGGGAGGAAGATGGTGTTGCTGATCTTTCCGTAGTGATACATACACAGTAAACACAGACCCTGAGGTGATGGCTGAGGGCTGCCTCTTCCGCAGCGCCCACTCATTGCACAAATGCAGAAGTACAGATGAGTCCCCAATCCCAGCATCCCATGGCACCAGGGGACACCACCTAAACTGAATCTGGAATCTCACCTTCCTGAGAGAGGCATCTGGGAAGCCAATGAGCCCAGCACATGCTCAGTGCCACAGCAGAGGCTGCGCAAGGGGAAACGAGCCCTTCTTCCCTAAGCAGGTGAAACCTGAGCCTTGCATTTCACGATACTGATCACCGAGTAAACAGGCTCTTTTACGTCCACATCTGTGTGAAGGCTGCTTCCCACACCAGCCTCCTTCCTGCCTGCCTGTTCTCACGGAAGTATCAGCAACATCGTGGGGTCACCTTAGCCTTGGAGGGGTCCCCGGGCTGTCCTAGGGCCTATGCCATGTTCCACAGAGACTAGGGCTCAGGGACTTTCATTTCCTCTCAGGGCCGGCCAAGCCACCCCCTTGGGTGCTTTGGCAGCAGCAGAGACCGCTTCAGTGGTCTCCACAGCATTTGCCTGGATTCTGGAGTTTCCCGGCTCCTGTGGATTCCTGGTTAATTCGCTGGGAGAACTGACTGCCTGAGAATAACTCTTGGTGTGCTCGAAGTTTCTTCCTTGCCTGATGTAGGCCAACTCACAAAGCAGTTCACATAGACTGGTGCCAGATTTATAAAGTGTGAATTGAATTCTGCCCTTGGCCTTCTCTGCCCAACTCCCACCACTTCCCTATTGTAGCTTCTCTTAAAGCATAGCCACATTTCCCTTCTAAAGCCCTAGTAAATCCTGCCAGATTAACAAATGGGGGGGGGGAAGGACCATTTCTTATCCATTTTCATATGTAGGCTGTTAACAGTCCCTGTTCTCTGCGATCCTCCTTACAGTGCTCCTAAGGGACCAACGTAGTTCTTGTGCTCCAGGCTTCACAAGAGGAAAAGCAGAGATCATTCCTTTTCTTTCCCGCTGCCAAAAACCAAACCAAAAAAAACCCCAAAAAACCTAAAATGAAGTGAATTGAAAACGAAGTCAGAAGAGCGGAGGCCTCTGTCTTTTAGCTCAGCACTTGCTGATTTCCTTGATTGCAATTCTCTCGGCCCCTCCCTCAAATCTGATAGGCACAGTACCCCATTAGGGTTTGGCTGGGGAGGCTGAAGGGACAATGAGAACCTAGACGACTCTGGTGAGGCTGCCAGAGTTAACAACCTTCCTGCGCAATAAAACCAGACAGCATTTTTGATGGACCACATTCTCATTGCATTTAAACTGCCTTGGAAAGCTTCCATGGCTGCTGATTTCAAATAAGAAAACATCCTGGAGGGAAGCAGGGCAGAGATGAGTCCTTTGGGCTCGCCTCTAACATTTGTGGGGCCTAGTGTAAGAGTACAAATGGAGGCCCATATGCCATATGCTTAAGTACTTAAAAGTTGTGATTCAAGCTTGAAAACTCTTAAATAAAACATAAAATGTGCCCTATCCTCCTTCCATGACAAACATACTTTATTGATAAGCTTAGAGGCTGGATTCAAATTTAGAGTTCTCTGACTTCTTGGAGTTCCGTTCTGGATCACAATGGCCGGGAAGAGCTGGCTTCTTACTACCCAGCCCACAGCCCTTGGTCCCAGGTCCACCTCCTCCTCTTTATACCCTGGCTGCATCCTGCATTGTGTGTGTCTTTCAAACCCATGCAGGACACTCTCCCCCATGTGTCCAAGTTCCATTGACACTCCCACCGACAGCCTCCTCCCCAACCTGGGCCACTCCTTGGCCTAGAAATGTGCCCAGTTTGCACTCAAGTGGACAGACCCAGGAAAGAGGGCTCCCACTGATCCTGGCTGATGGGAAACTCTGGTTGGTTGGAAAGAGAATTCCAGGGTCTGGAGAAGCCAAAGTATGGTTAAGGATGTGGTGGGGGTATATCCCTTTGGCCCCATGGACTCTTCTTCCCATAAAGAGAGGCACTATTGAAAGAACACCAGGCTGGGCCTTATAAGTAGCAGAGTATAGAACAATGGACCCTCCTGCTTAGATTTATGGATAGTTTGTAAAAGTAGGTCCTTTAAATAGGACGTTTCACTTAGAAAGTAGACACTTGGGGCCAGCCCTGTGGCCCAGTGTTAAGTTCATACACTTGGCTTTGATGGCCTGGGGTTCGCTAGTTCAGATCCTGGGAGCAGACCTACACACCACTCATCAAGCCATGTTGTGGCAGCATTCCACATCGAAGAACTAGAATGACTTACAACTAGGATGTACAACTATGTACTGGGGCTTTGGGGAGGGAAAAAAGAGGAAGATTGGCAACAGATGTTAACTCAGGGCCAATCTTCCTCACCAAAAAAAATGCATTCCTTAAAAGAAAGAAAGAAAAAAAAGAAAGTAGACACTTGCTACAGTGTCTGCAGACAGTGGTACAACAGGGCAGGATACTCTTTGCTTCATATGCTAAATGAGTATCCATGTCTAGCTGTAGCGGTTCTTAATTCTGGATGCAGAGTGATGTCACTTGGGGAAGACTCCTCGTGACCCCATGCATACAGATTCTGATTTAATGGTTTAGGGTGGGGTCCAGGCACAAGTACTTTTAAAAAGCTCCCTATGTGATTCTATTGAGAACCATTGGGTCCAGTTTAATGATTTTTTTTCTCATACCCCAGGGCATCAGCCCTTGTACCTCCCCCAAAGAATTCAAAACCATCATGGCCCAGGAGATTTTCGTATCCTGAATAACAGCGCCCCCGTTCTGTAGCTAACAATCAGCTCTGTGCTTGGAGCAGTGAGTAAGTTTGCTCTGCATAGGTTCTGCCAGTTGGAGGCAGAACTCTTAACTGGCATCTCCGTTGTGCTCCACGCGGGATCAAATTCAAAATATTTACTATCTAACAACCACTACAACAATCACTCCAAGCACACTCCATCTCCTTACCATGCTCAGACAGATTAATCTAGTTACTCTTCCCAGAAGTCCCTTAGAATAGGTTTTATTGTGTACATTTATCAGGTGACTTTCAAGAAGGTGGAGGTAGAAGGTGGTTAAGTTCGCACTTTCCGCTTCAGTGGCCCGAGGTTTGTGGGTTCGGATCCTGGGCCTGGACATACACATGGCTCATCAAGCGATGCTGTGGTGGCATCCTGCCTATAAAAAAATACAGGAAGATTTGCATGGATATTAGTTCAGGGCGAATCTTCCTCAAGCAAACTGAGGAAGACTGGTAATAGATGTCATCTCAGGGCCAATCTTCCTCACCAAAAACAAAACAAATAAAAAAAGAAGGTGGGAGATCTGGGACTCAAACCCATGTCTTTCCCAAATCTTGAGTTCTGTCAGCTATACCAGGCAGCTTTTCATAGCACTTCTGGTTGGCACAAACTGAGTTGTTTAATCTGTAACATTGACCTAAGCCAGAAAACTTGAAGGAAGCTGGTCTCATAAAAAACACTACCTACAAAATAGATCACCTAGTTTAAATCTACATAAACACAAGGAGGGAAAAGAAAGTTCACAGCCTCTACTTGAATGACATTTATTTCTGAGGCTAGTGATCAGCTTTTTAATTCCAAAGGTTATGCATGAATTCTGACATATACTCAGAGTTATGCTTATCGTTAACCATCGGTCACTCTCAAGTCTTGCAAATGTGGGATCCACAATTTTAAGGTCATAGCCACAGTGTGACCCATAAAAGTGTGAATATCTGATACTTTAAAATCACAGAATCACAAGACAGAACAGGATCGTTCCTGACCATCCAGCTTACCTCTGTTTCTGGGAAAGCCTGCCTTTAAGCCGTCCCAGAGACAAAACTTCCCCACTTGGAATACAATTTCTTTCTCTGCTCAGCAGGGGAGCCTTTCATTCAAAGCTCAGGTCAAGGCCTATCTTTGTGGCAGAGTAATTCATTCCAAGTCTCTCTCCTCAGCGGGGTGGACTGAGATTCTGGGGAATGGAATTTTATACAATTTGGTGGAGTTCCCTTTATGATGAAGAATACAAAATTAGGTACAAAAGTGAATATTTATTCAGAATGAGAAAATAAATCACAATAAACTACTGGAGGCTTGGAGATTTAGGTCCATTTGCTCTAAGATCCCTTTCTGCAATCTTCCAGGCCTGCTCGCAGAGAATGCTCCCTGGTTGCAGCCTGGCTTCCCCATCCCACCTTGGAAACTCCACCAAGGCTGGCAGATCCCAGTGTCCTCTGGGCCTGGTGCATTTGCCTCTGCTCTTCTGCAAATAGGTATGGGTATTATTTATTTGCTGGTTTATCTATGTATGTGCCTTATCACTCCCAAAGGATTTGAAAGAGAGAACCTGGCTCTTTTCCTTGCACTCTGGCAATGTAGCACCAACTGCTTTTGTACACACGATTCCTTTTCCTCACCTCCGCTATTTCTCACCCCTCCTGGTCCCATTGCGCTTGTGATCAGGTAAACTCCTACTTACTCTTGAATACATTTCTGGATCCTTCTAGTACAATGGTTCTCATCTAGGGGTGACTTTGTCCCCCAGGGGACGTTTGTTAATGTCTGGAGACACTTTTGATCATCACAACTGGGGTAGGGGGGCAGGAGGTGGTGCTGCTAGCATCTAAAGAGCAGAGAAAGGGATGCTGCTAGTCAGTCTACAATGCACAGGACAGCCTCTCACAACTAACAAGAAGTTATCCAGATCCAGGTTAAGAAAGCCTGCTCTTGCCCGAGTTGAGTACCTTTCCTCTGTGCTGCCAGAGCCCCATATACAGATTCTGCATTTGCGCTCACCACGTGGATTATAATGATCTGTACACATGCCTATTTCCCCTGTTGGATGGTGAGGCCTACGAAGACCACTTTTGTGTTTTGGTCTTCTTAATGCCCCCAGAATCTAACAGTGCTTGGCACGTAGTAGGTCATCTACAACGGTCCTTGAAAGGATAGAATGCTTCTACTTGTACCTGAATAGCACTGTTTAGCAAGTTAGCCATATATTGTTTTGTTTTAAAATATTATCTCTTCAGCAAGACTGTAAGCTTCTCGGGGGAGAAAATCTTGTCTTACACTTTTTCTCTATTTCCTCACATGCTTTTTCAGCGATAAGCATGTTATAGATACTCAATAATTATTGTGGATTGATTGACTTTCTACCGATTCTTATAAATCTCTATAGAGGTTAAAGTGATAGATTGATCAAGGTAGGAGGACAGATTTAATAAGGGAAGC